AGCTACACGTCGTCATGTGTCGTTTTTTTAACATAAAATTTCTTAATTTTGATAATGAATATAAAAAACAGTTTACTTGCTTTAAACCATTCTTTAAATGGTTAACTATATTTTATCTAAAGGTTCAGATAGCCACAGCTATTTTCCATTTTTCTTTGCTTATTTAAACTAGTGAACAGTAACTTGTTAGCAGTGCTAGTCAAGATGGCTAAAAGGAGGAAAAATAGTGTTTTGCTGGCAATATACTGTATAAATCTGACATATTATGTCTAACTTCATGTTACTGTATTACAGCAAATATTCAGCTTATTTGGTAACAATAATAGCAAAACTTTAAGTCTATTAAAACATATACAAATAATGGTCATAATACTATAATATGAAACATGATATGGTAATTTTTTAGTTTGAACAGCTTCCATTTCACGGTCCTCTTATTTAAATGTTGCCATCTTTTATCTGGTTTGTTCTGTAGGTCATATGAGAACAGGCTATTAACACTAGTAGGAAGTTGTTGTTTTATTGGAAATTGCAGTGAAACCATTTCAAAAACCCTATTGATGTATTTTGTCACCATCAGCGTTCGACAATCACTTTTAATTCTCGACATAAAGCTTTGGGAACATGAAAAAAAGAACAATACTACACTAGCTGAGTTCCATATTAGTTTTCCTAGAACAGACTATCTTTGTGTAATTTATACACAGTTCTGTGCAAAAGTCCTGAGTCATCCTTTAGTTTTTTTGCTGACTGTATTTTCCACGAATCCAGTTAAAACTATTTCAGTCAAATCTCTTACAGACAAGTGTCTTAACTATGACGTCATTATTTTATTCTTTTGTGCGTCTGTCACCTTTAGCGTGATGATACAGTTATTAAGGCATTCAACTACCTCATGACTGATTCAGGACTATAAGCTAATCAGATAGGAACGTGCTGAACTTTATCATCAAACAACAACACTGAACTGTCCGGTTTTTGGGTTTTTTTTTTTTACCCAGCCCTCAAACAGTGACACATCATTTGTTTAGTGTGTAACATTCCAAATCTTTTAAATAATGATTATATTTCCCATTTGTTATCTTTTCATTTGTGCTTTAATTAATTTTAAATAAAATGTAATTAATTGTTTCTTTGTTTTAACTTCAAAAGCCTGTTAACTTAAGCTTTTATGTTCCCTCCATTGAACACAACCACACTGGTTGGATTGCCAGGCTGTTGTGGCTGTATATGGTTCTTCCACATGCTACCAATGCATAGAAAGCTGTTAAATTGAGAATATGCCCTTCTTTCTTCAGGTTTTAATCATCCATTTCAATAAATGACACCAGGCTTGGATGTCGAGTTTCACAAAAAGTTCCCAACAAGTGTTGTTACGCTAAAGTAATCACTAAAACACACGTTTTCTTACTTTTTGTTAAAACATCTTACAGCCTCTGATATGTTTCATTTGGTGTTTTATTTATGCGGTTTTTCAAACCACAAATTCTGATTTAACTTATGAAGTTTTTGTTTGATTTAAAGTTTAAAGATTGAAATAGTGGCTAAAAATATATTTGAGATGTTTTATATTTTTGATCAACCTGGTTTTGTTCTGGGAAGCATATTTTTTTCTTTTTCGGAGCAACAGGGCTTGTTTTACAGAAACCACCTCATTTTTTCCTACTTTCCATTGACACATAAAAAAGCACAAGGACACACCCCAACATCCAGGTGGTCAAACAGGTATGTTATCTGAAAACCACGCCTCGTTTAAGGTGGAAACAAAAAAGCTCGGCCACGCGTCCTGCCTCATCACAACCTCTGAGCATCAACGCTGAGATCCTTCAACTTAACCGTTAACCTTCAGAAAATAAAGTAAGTCTTTTCAATTAATTTTTCAAACTTATTCTAATGACATTCAATTAAATTTACTCAAAAATATGTTTAATTTTTTATCAATTTAAGAATAGTTTGCTTAAATTTAGATCTATTTGTAAATGTTTGTCTTTTAGTTTAGTAGTTTTATTGTTTTTTGTTTCATCCTGTCAGGGATGGAGCGAACGTTGATCCTGTTCTTCGCCACACTGATGGTTTTCGGGACATCGGGCGTCCAGGCACAGTTTTCATTTGCCACAAATGTTACGGTTAGTTTTTAATTTGAAAGAAACATTTTTGTTGTATTTGTTCCACAACTTTCATACTTTAATGGAAAAACCCCAAAAGCAGTACATTAAAAACAAACGTCTTTATAGTCTGTTGCAGTTGTACTCATTAGGAAGTGACTAAATTGGTCAGAAATGCTGGAGTAAAAGTGAAAAATCAAATATTGGATAAATACATGTATTGATTGGTGTTAACTTGTAACTAATGTTTACTCAGAGTTTAGTGACTGAGATTATCTCAAAAAGTTACTCATTAGCAGGAACTCTGACTCTTTATTGTTGACTTTCTATGGTTAATGGTATTTAAACACAGCAATAAAAACTCACTACTTGTTTCCTTGTTCCACCTTGAAAAGTTATCCGTTTGTAAAACTTGAAATTTGATCATCTATTAACTTGCAGCCATTTTGTTTTTTGGGCTAAACAATAAAAAACAATTAAAAAAACATAAAAAACGATTCTCTTTTACAATTAAAAAATTGATTTCTATAAAAAGTTCTGATAACTGACTTCTGTGTGGGTTTGTGTCTGAACCAGGTCAACATCACCAGGACAGGATGTGGGTCCACCAAACTGTGTGTGCAGCAACCAAACGCCTGTGACCCCGCGGGAAGCAGCGGCTGTCTTTTTGGCTCTTCGGCGGTCGTAAATGCAACTGCAAATGACTTTTTCTTTCAGCTGAGTGGAAACGTCACAGGAAACTCCACAGAATTTGTTGCTCTGCAGCTCAACCCAAACTCAACTACGGTACGACACACAAACCTGATCACCCTACGGCAACATCAGAACAACATAGTCCTGAAAACAAGGAACAAAACACATAAACTTCCATCCAAACAAAGTTTCATAAAACCTTTCATTTTTCATACCTGCGATAAGCTTAACTATAAGTTTGGGATTTTTGCTTACAGAAAAAACACTATTTTGAAAGCTTTGATTTCTTGAATTTCGCAGATTTAAAAAAAAGGAAAAACAAGTTATGGCCTCTTAAAACTTTAGTTTCATAAAGTGATACTGGATCCATGGTTTTCAAAATCCAAACTATTAAAATGCATTATGCATTAGATATTCCCTCATATAAAAGTTACCAAGAATCCAGTAGAATTGCAGGAATAATGATCATGTTACAGTTAAATTTATTGTTTAATTCAGATTTTTACTCAACTCTAACAAATGCAATTTTTTGTTTCACATTTGTGGACTTAAGTTTTATAATTACCATCTCAACAAAATACTGTAGAATATTTATTGAAATACAATAACATAACAGGTTGATGTGATACATCTACGTTGATTGCTGAGCTGTGTGCATTTAGCTGTTTTGGTTAGCGCAGCTAAAAAGTTAGCCAAATTAGTTTATTGCCACAAACAGACACAAAGAAGACAGAAGCGGACATTTAATTTTTTCGGTAAAATATGTAGTTAGCCATTTAAAGAATGTGCCTCATTTAATTTCTCATGACCTTTAAGCTGTTGAACATTGAAATAAACGTAAAACTAGCATGTTAGCAAGTCACGTCAATATTTGAACCTCAGACTTTACATTTAAGTTGAATTGATGAAGTACATTAAACTATATTTAAGAAAATACATACAATAATAATCAGTACTTTCAATTATATAAATACAATGTATAAAATGTATTTAAAATGTATATGGGCACTAGCAATGCTAAAAAACTAGCCTAGCAAGCTAAAGCTATTTTTAAGACACCTGGGCAATATTTCAGGTAATTTCCAAATAGACTAATCTAACAATGAAATCGTTTTTTAATAATTTAATGTACTGACCACACTATAACCAATTTCTTACTAAAAGCAACATATTTTATAAGATGATAAATTTTTGGACTATTCAGACCATTTGTAATAGCCTATATGTTAAATACACATGAATACAGTACGTGGGTTTAACATACAAGATTTAAATAATAAGATGAATTCATACATCCACCTTAGAACAAAAGCACATCAGAATACAATAAGTTGCTGGTGGTGTAACAATACATCGATTCAAAACGAGGCAAAACAAAAACATCAGTACATCACGCCTGATGTTGATTGTTTATATGTCGATCCAACGCATTTATTAAATGATTGTTAGATAAATGTCATATCTGGTGTAGACTTGTGAATCAAAATCGTAGCATGAAAGACTTTGTGATATTGAGAAACAATGTATCATCATCCAAACAAACTGAGATAATATTGTATCGTGATACAGCTGATGATTTTTATGAGGAAACACTAAAAAAAAATTAAACAGCTAGAAAAAGGTAGGATGGTGGGGAAAAAAGACAAAAAAACACTAGGACTGGAAGCTCAAAAGTTCTGTTTTGTTTAAGGAAACATGCTGTTTAAAGTGCAACTAGTTCTATCCTAAGTAAACAAAGTTAAGTCGTAGAGAGAAATGTAATATAACCTTGAGTCCACTGAAATGTGAAGCAGGAAATGTAAATACTTTGTTTTTAAACGGTGGAAAATCCAACAGTTCAGGTGCTTCATAACAGGAAGTACAATTCTGAGTTTGGTTCAAAATATATTATTGTTGTTGATTTCATGCCCTGAATGTGTACTAAAGCATAAATCCACATGATAAATGAGCTCTTTATCCCTTAATTTACTTCCTCCTGTCCTTATACCATGTGTTCATGCAGTACATTAATCTTTATCCACCGCTTCTTTTCCAGAATGCCGGGCTTATCTTTGCATGCATTCAGAACAATTCAACCTTCTCCTTCCAGACGTTTATGATGAACTCAGCTGGAAATGTGACACGGTTTAACAGGGTGAGACACTGATCCTGAACACAAGTTTAACATAAATAAAGTCTACCAGCAGTAAAACCTCTGTGTCTCAGAAAATAAACACAAACAACTGTTTATTTCATGTTTGCAGACTGTGACACAAATTCGAGGACTGGCAAATACGACCAAGATCCAGTGCGAGTTCAGTGTTGCAAATCTGACTGTCTCCGGCACCGCCAGCCTCCTCAGGAGCCAGGACAACGCTTTCAGCTTCAGTCTCGCGTCTGGAACTCTAAACGGAGGTGAGAATAATTTACTGTAGCCTTTACTTTTCATTTAGATTTTTGACCCAAGGACAGCAGGAGCGTGATAGAAATCATAAGAGTTTACAGATTTGGATAATAAATTTAAACAACGTAACTCTGAATTTCGATGTTTTGTTTCTCATTAGAAAGTCTGGTGTTCGCTCAAACCTTCCGCGCTGGTGTACTGGACCTAGCCAACCCGACAGCAAACGTAGCAAACACCACAACTGCACCAAACACCACTACGCCAGCATCAGGAAGCAACCGGGCTCTCCACTCTGAAGGTAAATCACACAGATCTACAGATCTTATCTGCATTCACTGGAGTCACTCTAAAGATCTGGCGATAGCTTTTATTCCCGAGCTCGAACCTGTAGCCTCAGGATTATGAGACTTGGGCTCTGACCGCTGATCCACCGCTGTTATTTTGGCATTAAGCTTCTTAAAACAATTCTGTTTGAGGAATTAACTAAACTAATCTGATACCTATGTTCTCCGGTATCTTWGTTACCTACGTTCCACAGTACGTTTCTCGGAATCGATAATCCTGTTCTCTGCACACCTGATGTCGTACTCGTGTCTTTTCAAAACCATTATTTTGAGTATGAGTCAAAGAACCGGGCTCTCATCTTGTTGAGAAAACAAAATTCTACTGCTCTCACGGTCAGTAGAGCTGAACGATTGAATCTCACGCTCTTAGTCAAGGTTGTTCACATCAAAACCAACATTAGATTGGGAATTTTCCTTAGTTATGTGTAAATATAACCTCTATTTTGTATTAAATTACGCAAATTTGTTTTTTTTTTTTATCTTTTTCCCATCCAGGTGTGCTGCTCCTGACAGGCATCCTCTCACTGGCCTTTCTGAAAACGGCCTGAATCCAAGCAAAAAAAAAAACAAACACAAAAAAAACAAAGACGACACGGTGAAGGAAGTTGATGTTTAAAACAACAAAAAACTGAGTGTCATTCTGTTTATGAAGTGTTTTTTCCCCTTAAACTACAGTATATAAATGTCTTTTTGCACAGTTTGTTAATGCTTAGAAATGAAGAAACCAGTCAAGTACCGTCTGCAAACCACTCATGTTTTTAATAATTAAATGTTTGTTTTTTAAATTTTGTAATTAATTTAAATGTATTCTATCTTTTTGTTCATCACAACTTTTATCCAGGAGTTAATTTGTTGGTAATAACCTGCTGKTTAACCTGAGCTGACGCTGAGTCARCTTTCTTTGAGAAGGACCGGTTCCAGCTCAAGGTTTTGTTTTGTAAGTAAAAAAAAGAGAAAAAGACTCATCAGGAGTCTCTTTGTTCATCGGATGAATTAAAGATCTCATGTGACCTGAAAAACAAACAAAAAAACRTAGTTTGACTCTTGTTTGTCGTGGCGGGCGCACCTTTGGTCACGGTACAGAGGAAAAATAAATAAAGAGCCATCTGACAACATTTTTCTGTTCAACTTTACTCAAGCGAAACCCATTGAGTTCACAGCATAGAGATCATAATAGAGAACAGGTGCACTGGTCGGACTCTACAACCAGAGAAGGGTCTGTGTTCTCCTGTACTTATGTTCTCCCAGAGTTAATAATAAAAGTCATCAAACATGCTTGGCTCCCCTTCGAATGTTTTTTAAAACAAATAAAAAAATGTTGAATTACAGTGCAGGCATTGTACCAAAAAAATGTAGGGATGACCTTTTCCTGATACTTCATCTGTACTTATGTCTACTATCTATGTTCACCATTACCTATCTCTAGAACCTATATGTTCACCAGTACTTATATTATGCAGTAACAAATGTTTTCCAGTACTTATATTCAGCTGCACCTACAGTCAGTGGTACTTTTGTTCCACAGTACCRTTCACCAGTTCTTATATTATACAGTACCAAATGTTACCCAGTACCTATTTTCCCTGGTATTTATGTTTCCCGGTTCATTGATACTTACGTTTCCCAGTACCTATGTTCAGTGGTACTTATGTTTTCCAGTACTTCTGTTCATCAGTACTTGTGTTTCCTGGTACCTATAAAATCGGTACTTATGTTTTCCAGTACCTATGTTCATWKGTACTTCTGTTCATGAGTACTTGTGTTTCCTGGTACCTATGTACATTGGTACTTATGTTTTCCAGTACCAATGTTCACTGGTACATGTTCATCAGTACTTGTGTTTCCTGGTACCTATGTTCATCGGTACTTATGTTCCCCAGGACCTATGTTCATTGGTACTTATGTTTTCCAGTACCTATGTTCATTGGTACTTATGTTCATCAGTACTTGTGTTTTCTGGTATTTATGTTCATCGGTACTTATGTTTCCCAGTGCCTATTTTCA